TATATTATCATGTTGTCTTGCAACATGTTAAACCCAGGATATAAATTTAGAAAACTTTCATAATTTCTTCCTTAATGTCAACTGAAAAACTAACAAAAAACTGCAGATCTACTAATAACATCTAGTATAATAAAAATAAACTATTCCACAATTCTTTTCTTTTCATCATTAAAATGTGTAGACAAAATTACACTATAGTATTTTACTACATACTGAAAGTATAGAACAAAGCAGACTAGTTATGACTGTACAAAAAATCATAGAAAGGAATACTTATACAGACTCAAATAAATCAGATCCTGACTTAACTAGCTCTTTTCCTTTCCTAGACCTTGAAGATAGAATGCAAATAAACTGTGAGCTAATACAGCTCAGAAGGTCACATTTACCTATATAAATGTTCAAATAATTCATTTAATAAATATTCAGACAAGTTTTAAAAAATAGTTCTGTTGGCTTAAGAAAAATAACGAGTCTGCATGAATCCTACTTTACAGTTATAGGATTCAATTCTCCTTAAGTCATATTATAGTGAACTATATTTCCCCTTAGGGTAGTGTTAGGGTTTAATTAAACTGAGTTTTTACTTCCATGAGTGCAAGTACTCTTAGTTTATTATTCCTCTTAACATGTAAAAGAGAACTCTCGATTAAAGATGAATAATTTTTATATGTTTTAGTCTCAATTGTGAGTAAAAATGAAGGTAATCCCAATCAAGATCTCATGATTTTGTCGTCTCAGGTATAACAAAGGTTTCAGACTACCAACATTAATAATCATTGACTATAATGTCCAGGGAGCCTGATTAGCATGAGCTATGGGTTGCCTCGTCTCAAGGATCACGAGTAAATTGATGTGGTTAGATGTGAGTTTTAATTTTATTTGGTTTTAAAGTTTATATCTATTAGAATACCCAATAAATAATTTGGTTTGAGGATTTATAACTTCATTTAGAAGTTACACAAAAGTTTGATTTGAAGAGGGTTTTACGACTTCTTTCAGAAGTAGTCAGTGTATATGAATTTAAGTGGAGACATGACTTTCATTAAAAGTTTCCCATAAAATGAGTTTTATGGCTTTTGTTAGAAGTATCCCATTTGTGAGCTTTAAAACTAAGCTTTATAGTAAGACTGTTTATTAAATTTGAATTTGATTGACAGATCTTACGACTCTCATAGAAGTTGCATGTTGGTTTAATTTGGAGCGAGTGAGACTTTTGACTGTCATTAGGAGTTGCCCGTTAGCGAGTGTTATAACCTAGCTCGAAAGCAAGGTTGCTCGTTGATTTAATTATTTCGATAGGTCTTATAGCTTCCCTTTGGAAGTTGCCTAAAACTGGATCTTATAACATAATCTTTTATATTAAGATGCCAGTTAATTTTTATTTGAGGGCTTGATATTTCATTTAAAAAATTTTCAAATAATAGGTTTCATGACTTATATTAAAAATTGCCTAATTATTTAGGTAGGACGGGTCTTATTGCTTTCTTTATAGAAGTAGTCCATTGGTGGGTCTCATAATTTAGCCCTATAGGCTAAACTGTCGGCTAATTTTATTTGGATTTGGGATATGTCTTATGACTTTCTTAGGAAGTTGTTTGAAAGCGAGTCTTACAATTTAATCATTTAGACTAAGATGTCCATAGATTTAATTGTTTGTTTATTTAAGTGGACAGCAGTTGTTTGACTTTATAAAAGAGTTTAGGGGGTAAAATTGTTTTTGTTTCTAACAAGCTAATATAAATTATTGTAGGCTTGAAAAATAATATGCTAGAATTCTATATTGTATTTGAGCATGTTGTTATCATCCTATATTTTCTTTATAATATAAGATGTTGGTTTGAGACTACAATATGTTTTATTTTATAATTAGAATGAGGGTAAAAATAAAATATTATTTGATTAAATTTAATTTATAAGATTGGATAGTATGATATGGGATTAAATTAAATAAATATTCTGTGAAAGCCAGTTTTCAATTTCCTTCCAGGTTCGTCAGGATGAAGTGGGGTTCGTCCGGGACGACCAGTTAAAAGCTTGGTGACAGAGAGTTTCATCCCAGGACGAAGTAGTTTCGTTTGTACGAAATTTTTCCCGAGAGCAAATCGTCCAAGGACAAAAGAATTGGAATTAATTTTCGTCTATACGATATGTGTCCATAGGAGATCGTCCCGAGACGATCGGGGGCATCGTCTGGACGATCCTGTTTAATAAATATCTGAATTATGTCATTTTTGAAGAGAGAGAAAGAGGAGGAGAGAGAGAACGAAAGCGAGAAGGGGAAATTTGCGTTTTTGGCGACTTCGGTCTGTTTTCGTCTGTCGCCGTAGTTACGAAAGTTAATCGACTCGAGGTAAGGCACATTATGCCTTTCTCAATTTTCAAAAATGTAGTTTTTGATGAATTTCTTGTTTCGATTTTCGTTTCCGTTAGCCTAAAAGTGATCCATCTTTGTATCGACGAAATTTTTATCGCGTAACTTTTGGTATGTTGTAGAGATGATGTTTTTACACGTTTTGAGTATTTTCTGAAAAGTTTTCACGTGGTAGTTTGAATTCTGCAGAGTTTTTATCGAATAAAAAATTATCTGGATGTTGGAAAATATTGCTTCAGTACAATGAAAGTCTTAAAATGATGTTTTACACTATATGTGATAATTTGGTAATTTTCTGAAACTTTGATTTGATCTGTTGAAATTTCTGTGGACTGACGTTATGCCGCTGACCATTTTTCTAATGTAATCCGATTTTTTTGAATTTGATGATTTGATGTGTTTGAATGATATCAGAAGGGGTTATAAGGGGCCAAAATCCTTCGAGATTATGTCTGTGTCAGGGAAGGCAGGCATAAGGGGCCAGAATCTATTGAGCTTATGTCTAGGTCCAGGAATATGAAAATGAATTCAGATCTGATAATTCTATATCTCTGATATATTCTGGTGCTGTAAGCACAAAGGGAGGCATCAGGGTCCAGAATACTATGAGATTCTGTCTGTGTCAGGGAAGGGAGGCATAAGGGGCCAGAATCCTTTGAGATTCTGTCTTGGTCAGGGAAATCTGTGATGAAATGTGATTTGAATATTTTTTGAAATCTGTTCTGAACTTTGATTGAATTCTGACTTGAATAATTTTGTAACGTAAATTTGATTCAGTTATTCTGTCTCTATTACTTCATTTGTTCATAATGAATATATGTATTTTGTTTGATTTATGTTCTGTATGAATCTCTGACCCCTGTCTGATATTCTGATTTTTGTAGGATTATCTGAATTCTGTACTGCAAATGTTTTTAACACCTTCATGCATATTTTGATATGAGAGTTTCTGGAATTTTGATTGGCTAGTGTAGTCTTGCTGAGCTGTTAGCCCATCCTTGTTATCTGCGTGGTTTTCAGGTTCTGGGAATGGGAAGGAGGTGTTAGACTAACCGTTCTGTGTCTGATCTGAGATTAGATATTTTTGTACTTTTGATTTTTGTACGGTTATGGCTATTCTATTCTTCTGTTCTGTTCTTTCTGTTTATAGCCATGCATTGTATTGTACATGATTATTTTAAAGAATGAGAAGAAAGAAAATATTAGATGAATTTCTGTATATTGTAAGTTTAATAGTAGCTCTGTGTTTTCTGTATGATTATTCGAAAGAAAGTCTGAAACCAAATTCCAAAGATAGATCCTGGATTCATCCGTCGCGACTTGACGCGATGGGATTCGTTCCGGTCGGATTGGGTCGTGACATATTCTCTATATCAATCAAGTAATATTTGATTCGATGAAATATACATATGAATTATATTGCATGATATAGATCTTACAACATGATTTTCAGTTCATATTCTGATTCAAATCGATAGAATTGTATGATCAATAATCATATAGTATAATTAACAATAGTTTTAAATTTAAATTCTAATCATCCTTAATTGATGTTTGCCTTTAATTTTGAGCTTTTGCTTGATGACACACAATAATATTTATGCTCGTACCAACAAAGAGTAATTTAATAATTTTAAAATAGAAATTCAAATAGTAATATTAAAAGACAAAAATTTAAAGTGTCCCTAAACATTAAATCATATTTTTCCTTAACATGTACACTTTGATCATTAAATATTATTTTAAAGAGAGAGATCTCGAATGTGAAAGCGTTTTTAATTTACTTAAGAATATTACCCAATATTGGCTTGTTGTAAAGTAGAAATTGAAAAAAAATTTATACACAGCTCATCTTGGTATGTTGGTAAGGAGCTTTGACTTTCAACTAAGAGATCTTGAGTTCTAGTCTTGTATATGTGATATGTGTATGAATTTGACTTAATTGGCCTAAATGTCATGAACAAATTATCATATGATAAAAAAAAGATTAATTATTTCATAATGTTAATTACTTGTTAAGGATGGAAAGATTAACTTATTTTAAATGAAAATATTTAATTTAAAAAGATAAAAAAAAAACTCAATTCATAATTCAAAAAGGTTAAGAAAGCTCATCCATGCAATAATTATGATAATTACACGTACTCTTTTAATTTTCTTCTCTTGTCATTAATTATTATACAATGTTTAATTTAGAACTTAAGGCTTAAATAAATTAAACTAAAAACTCTTTAAATCATACTTTTAAAAATATTTAAAGATAAAATATTCAAATTTTCCTTATTATATAAAATGAACTATGAATGTTTAAGCTATCATAATAGACAATGATAGCCAACAAATCAAATATGAACACCATATATTATGGCTACCTTTGGAACTGCTTTCTTATTTATTTTTAAATAGCTTTATTATAAAATTTTTTAGCTATTTTATGCGGAGTCCAGATAGAAAGAATCATCTTGACATATGAATGTACACACACAATATACATAATATATGTACATCTATGTACACACTCATATGTCCGAATGATCATATTCTTGACGATTCTTCTAATCCGAACTCCGCACAGAATAATTTCTAAGCTGGACTGTCACACAAATCAAGAAGATTTGCGTGCTTTTTAGGGGCAGAAGGTGACTCTGTAGTTGGTGCCGGCGGGGCAAGAGAAGGTGTCAGTCTGATCATCCTTGGGAAAGCTGTAGGCGTCAGGGCAAAGGTTCTTGAAGAACCTCGAGTAGTCGGTCGGCGCACAGCTGCCGGAGTAGCAGCAATACTCATCTGTCTTAAACACCGTGCACGGATTATTACATCCTCCGGGAGCCTTCAGCGCCGTCGGGCACTGCCCAACGAAATCCGCCGCGCATTGTTGTCCTTGGCAGGACCCGCTCGTCGTCGTCGGGCTGAAATTAATCCCCACGTTGTACCCATCGACGAGGGAGATATCGAACAAGTCGAGATTGGAGAACTCGTCGAGGGCGAATTCCGCCAATGTGTTCGGCGGCGATCCGTAGGCGGTGCAGGAGAGTTTGCCGCCGCAGTCGCCGGTTTCGCAATGGCCGTTACCGGAGTCGTTGAAGGAGCAGCCGGTACGGGCCCACACGCGGCCGACGGTGGTCCCGGATGGGACTTCGAAGGTCCATGTTTGGCCGCTGTTGAGCTGGATGCCGCCGCCGTACGGCACTGCGGCCGGCCAGAGTGTGTCTGAGCAATTGTTGACGACGGTGAAGGAGGCGGATTTGAGAGGGGTTAGGACGGTGAGGAAGGCGAGGGGGAGGAGGACGAAGGAAATTGCTGCCATTATGTTGGATAAATGAATTTCTTTGCTTCTGTAATGAATTGGGATGATCGTTTATATATCTGTATATAGGAGGAAGGAAGCTTTTAGATAAAGGTTTGATTTTTATTCAGTCATGAGGCGTTTGGAAAGGGTCGAGGAAGGAAGCATTCAAAGTCTAGATGGTAAGCCCAATTCCACGCCAAAGTGTGAAATTTCTCGCATGAGCAAATACTATTCTCAGCACAATAAGGTTTATTTTGGGACGATTTTCTTGCTTCTTCTTAAAGCAATTTTTTAATACAAAAATTAAAATTTTTATATTAAAAGTTATTTTAAGAAGCGTTAGGAAAGCCGTCCCAAACGAATCCTAAATCTAATACGGTGGTCTCCACCATTTTGATTTTGCCACCTAAAATCACATTTTTGTGTTTAATCTCGGTTGACGATTGTGAACAGTGAGACGACAATATTGACGTCACACTGTCACCAAAACGATAATTGAACGTCATTCCCACGCTATCCTTCATAAATATAAAACATAAATGAGAAAAAATAGACGCATGATATTTTTTTTCGGTGTTAGAAATGAAATTCGGTTGAAGATGAATTATTATTTGATATGATTTCTTTTCATTTTAATTTTCTTTAAAATATTTTGAACCATTTCGTTCAAGCAAGTAAATGCTCTATTTTTTAATAGGGAAGACTTTTCTAAATTTCATTAATCAAAGATAGAGATGAATATTAATTGCACTTTGTAGTTTTTCCACATATCTGATCATGAGAGTGACAGAATGCTAATTAATAATCTCTTCTTATGGAGAGAAACAATTAATTAGAAATTTTATCTTTCTACACGGCCAGTCCATGTGTTGGAAACTTGAAGTTGCAGTAGTTGATTTCACCATTTTTTTCTGAAGCTATTTACAAGTCAAGTCTTCCACATTGCTTAATATAAATTCTATCTAGCTCTTTTATTAATATAAAATTGTATGGAAGAAATCTCTAGAATAAAAAATAACTTTTTGTAGTTGTTAGTTGAATTTTTATTATGGAAATATCTAGATTGTGTTTCTAGAATGATCTTTGTGCAAGTATAAAAAAACCTTTAGCCTTATCATTTTGATGTAAGAGAGAAATAAATCTAATAGAAGTTCCTCTTGTTTTTATCCTCTTCCACTCTTTTAAGCAATTTATCTCTTACAAGTGGTATCAGAGATAAATTCGATGACAAGTAGTATGAATTTACAAGAGCATTATCTCACAAAAGAGAATTATGAGAATTGGAGTATTCAAATGAAGGCATTATTTTGGTTCGCAAGATATTTGGGAGATAGTTGAAAAATGCTATGTCGAGCATCAATATGAAGTAGCATTATCAACAACCCAAAGAGAATTGTTGAAAGAAAGCAGAAAGAATGATATGAAATCTCTCTTTTTTATTTATCAAGCATTAGATGAGGCAAACATTGAGAAAGTGACCAGTGCATCTACCTCTAAGCAAGTATGAGAGATACTTCAAATTGCATATAAATGCATATACAAGATAAAGAAGATTCGACTTCAAACTCTCTGAGCTGAATTTGAGGCACTTCAAACGAATGAAGAAAAAATTGTGGAAAATTATTTCACAAGTCTTGACTATTGTCAATGAACTATGAAGGTATGGAGAAAAATTAGAAGATGTTCGAGTGATAAAAAGTTCTACGTTCAGTAAATGATAAATTTGAGCATATTGTAGTAGCTATTGAGGAAGCTAAAGATTTAGAGACAATGACTATTGATGAACTAATGGACTCTTTAATGGCTTATGAGCAAAGGAAAAAAAAGAAGAAAAAATAGGATACCCTCAAACAAGTTTTCCAATCAAAGTTCTCATTAAATGGTGACAAAGACAACAACAAAATGAAGATAATTCAAATGATTGAACATTATTTATAGACAAGGCCGTGATCGAGGTTGAGCACGTGGTTATGACTTTCGAAGAGGTTGAGGATATGGATGTGGACATGGTGGATATCAAAGAAATAACGAAGAAAGTCAAAACTCAAGAAATGAAGTGGAAGAAATAGTCAAGATATCAAAGGTACAAAAAATCTCATGTTCATTGTTATATTTGCAAGAAATTTGATCATTATGCTTTCGAATGCTAGCATAATCAAGAGAAAACTAACCTTATAAGAGAAACATAAGAGGATCCAATTTTATTATTAGCATTAAAAGGAGAAGAAGATGAAAAAAATGGTATTTAGATACTGGAGCAAGTAATCATATGTGTAGGGATAAAAATATGTTCATAGAAATGGAGGCAATAGAGAGTTAAATTTATTTTGACGACTCTTAAAAAATTCCGGCAAAAGGAAAAGATAAAATCTTTATTTTACTTAAAGATGGAACTTTTTAATTTATTTCTGAAGTTTATTATGTGTTTGATATGAAAAGTATTATTTTAAGCTTGGGGCAATTACTTGAGAAAGAATTTGATATTCATATGAAGGATAAAAAGCTCAATATTAAATATAATTCAAATGAATTAATTGCCCAAGTGGAGATGATAAATAATATAATGCTTATTCTTAATATAAAAAATAAAGTAATGAAATGTTTAAAGACGTGTGAAAAATCCATCATGAATTTAGCAAATGAGGCTTGTGCATTTGAATTTTGGAGATCTAAATAATATGTCGAGAAAAGATATGGTACATGGGTTACCAAATATTAATCATCCAAATCAAATTTGTGAAGGATGTGTATTTGAAAAACAACATAGAAAGAATTTTCCAAATGAAGCAAGCTTTAGGGCAAATATGCCTTTTTAATTAATCCACACAGATATATGAAGACCCTTTGCTCCAACATCTTTTTGTAAGCATCAATATTTCTTAACTTTTATTGATGATTATTCAAGAAAAATATATGTTTATTTTTGAAAGAGAAATTAGAAACTTTTAATATAAGTGGGGCTTCAATAAAAAATATAGAGAAAAAAGTGGGGCTTCAATAAAATCCATCATATCAAATAGAGGAGGCAAATTTTGTCCGAAGTATTCAAAGAATATTCTGACGAGCATGACATTCGACTTCAATTAACAACACCCTTTTCACCCCAACAAAATGGAGTAACAGAGAGGAAAAATTGCACTATTCTTAATATGGTATGAAGCATGATCAAAATTAAGTATATGCCTACAGAATTTTAGGTTGAGACGGTGACATCTGTTGTCTATACAAGCTCAATCAGTGCTCAACCTCAAGCTCACATGATATGACGCCACAAGAAGCATAGAGTGACACCACAAAAATATATGACAAAAATAAAACATGCCTAAAAGTTTCTGGAGGCTGATTCTTTTTTATTTGAGCCTATCATCCCGGACGATGATAATATCGTTTAGGACGATTTTCTTAATTGTGGTTGCCTTAACCATGATGCCCTAATTAGGATTTCTATTTTTGATTGATCATCTAGGATGTTTTTAGATCGTCCTGAATGATGTGATCAAAAATAGAAAACACTAAAAACAGACAGAATTTTTTTATGAGCGTTTGTGTCCTGAGATGGCTTGATTTGCACTCGACATTATGGACCTAAAACGTTAGTAGGCAAGGCAGTCGTAGAAAAATAGAAGTAAGAAAAATATTTGCTATCATTAAAATTATATTTCATGAAATCAGATCTGCAACAAGATGGTGGTCTGGCAGAACTCCGGGACTTAGGTGATGGTCCGACAGAACTCTGGGCTTTAAGTGGTGGTCCAACGAAACTCAGGGCTTCAAGTGATGGTCCGGTGAAGCTCAGGGCCTCAAGTGGTGGTTTGACGGAGCTTAGGGCCGCAAGCGATGGTTCGGCGGAGCTCAAAACCTCAAGTAGTGATCCGGCAGAAGTCCGGGCCTCAGGTGATGGTCTGGCGGAACTCTAGAGGAGCAAGAAGGCATGTGACGCAGGAGCATCCATATAAATAAATTGTATTTTCTTATTAGTGATTGGTGTAGCTCTATCTCTTGTGTAGCCTATTATGTGACTACATGAAGTCTATATTATGGCAAGTGTCTTGTAATAGAAGGAGATTTTGGAGATTAATAAAATTAGAGTTTTACTCTTGTGAATTTTTATATCTTAAGATTGTTCTTAGGTGGTGGATCTTGCTCCAACAAGGAGTTCTTGGAGTAGTGTCCGGCAACTGCCACCGGATCATTGACATGGATTTATCGAGCCCCCTTCAGTCCGGTGTCATTTGGTATCAGAGCTGGCAAGATGCTAGCGTCACCAATGGCAGCTCCTTAACGTTGCTGGCGTCCACAATCCTCATCACTTAATAACAACTAACTGCAGCAACCTGATATTCTTCTTCTACTCCATTGTTTTTTTCTTCATCAAAAGCAGATTGTCATGCCAAGGACTGAACCGCAAGATCCGGCATACTTCAAGACATAAACCAAAAAAGCTGTTAATCTTCGGTTTCTTGGACTGTCCTCTATTTTATGTATTCTGGTTTATATTTCTAGATGGTGAGATAGAGTCCAGTAGTCTGTAGATCCCAGTGTTCCCAGTGTCGGAAGAAGCCAAGTCGGAGGCCATCCAAGGTCCGGCGAGTTCAGCTAGGCGTCTCATTCATCCAGTCTTGATCTTTGGTGGTGAATCGGCTTTGGTGGTTTTCTTGTGTGCACAAGAATCGGATACCATATTATTGAGTGTGTCCTTGGGATACCAGCATTGCTTTGTATTCGGCAATGGATCCATTAGAATGAAACTTGGTTTTAAAGGTCCATCGACATTCCAAGATGGGTTGGTCAGTTTGATGAGGAACTAGGAACCAGGTCCCTTGTTGTTGAAGAGCCATGAATTCCTCGGACATAGATGTTCTCTAATGGGTAGATTTGGAGGTGCGTGGAGCTAATGGAGAAGGTTGAGGTTCTGTTTGGGTTTGAGATTTTCGATTTGATATATGATAACCATGGGGTGATTAAGTGGTTGTGATGGGGTATTGGTTGATGGTTGAGGTGGCATATTAGGTGAGGGGGATCATGTGAGATGAAAGAGGGGGGGGGGGACGGGGGGCTTGTGGGGCTTGGGAGAGGTGTGCTTAGCAATGGTGGTTGACGAGATAAGGATAAGAGGTGGAACATGAGGTGGGTTGGTGTTTGAGGTGGTCGACGGGATTTTTGAGAGTGGAAAATTAGTTTCATTGAAGATGACATGTCAAAAGGTGATGATTTTGTTTGTTGAAAGTATTAAACAGTGACATCCTCTGATGCCCCAAGATCTAACTTGGAAAGAATGTCAATCAATTACTCAAACAATTTACCAGAGTTATCTAAAACCTTTAATTAACCAGTCTATCAAACATCTATAAAATTTCAAACATCAATATACAAGTCAATTCATATCTCAAAAGTCATGTACAATACTCAGGAACTGAAGATCTGGATCAATTCCTATCTTCTGCTCCCTTGCCCTGACCTGAAAATATCAACCACATATAATGAGCTTTACAAAGCCCAGCAGGTCACCTAATACCTATAACTGAAATCAAAGCACGGCGATGCTATCAATATGCATGTCGGTCAATCAAATCAATATCAGTCAATGAGTCTATGCAACGTGGAATCCATAGTCAATGCAACAGCAGGCAAAACGATTAATCCAGCTCAATCAATCAGTACGTGAAATCTTCAAGAGAATCCGTCGATCAATCAAATCAATCGTATCGAACCAATCTATCGTATCAAAGCAAATCTCTAGTATCAAGTCGGTAAAATCAATTGGAAAAGAAATACGATAAAATAATAGCAGCAGCAAGTCAAATCGATGAAGAATCAATGGTATCAATGAGTCTATGAATCTATGCCGTCCATGTCCATATCAATATCAATAATCAAGTAGTATCAATGCTCAATGATCAATCAATGAAATCAATAAATCGATGCATATCATTCAATGGTCTTACTAGACAAGTACAAACGCTGGCTATGTTGCTGTTGTAGAATCCGAATTGCTGTTGTAGATGTCTATACGTTGGTTCCATTAATAAGAGTCGTCACTCTTTTTGCCCGTCGGCCGCCCGTCGGCGTATAAAACTCCTTATAACTCCCTCCATGATCCATGATCCATGATCTATGATTTAAAGGAAAGCCCGTCGGCCCACCATCCTGTACAGGTCAACCAATCTCCAACCAACGTTCAACCATGTTCCCACTTGTCTTTCAGTATCAATAGTCAATTAGTAAAACTGTAGAGATTTTTTTTTCATAAATATCCTTACAACCAAAATTTGTTCCGGGGGTACTGCTGCCCCTTGACCCCTATTTATTCATATTCTTGATCGTTGTAAGCTTCGCAGATATTTCGGGGGTCCAAGGGCTCATCGCCCCCTCACGGGGCGCGGGGCAGCGCCCCCGGAACAAATTTTATTTATAAATATTTTTGGATTTTCTTTACTATTTCCCTTTGAATTTTTTGTTGTATGGATATTTTTGGACTTTCTTTACAAATTTTGGTTGTAAGGATAATTTTGGTTCCCTAAAAATAACATCTCTACATAATGTGTTTAATTGTGTTGGAGCAAATGCCCCCATTGGGCTTATGATCTGCCCCAGAGTATGTTGGCGAGCTTATTGGTGGTTGAGATGTGGTGAATGGTTAAGGCTTTAGAGATAATATGACCTCGTATGAAATGGAGATCAATTTCAATGTATTTGGTACAAGCTTGAAGGATCAAATTGTTTGCAATGTAGATGGTGAACGTGTTGTCATAGAACAATGATGTGTGAGATGTGATGGGTATGTCAAGATCTTGTAGCAGACAGTGTAGCCATATGAGTTCTGAGGATGCGGCAGCGAGTGCTCGATATTCGACCTTGGTAGATGACCGAGGGACTGTTTTCTATTTCTGAACTTTCCAGAGTATGGGATTTGTGCAGAGGAAGAAGCAATTGCCCGAAAAGGATAGTCAATTTGTGTTATTGCCGCCTCAATCTTCGTCCGTATAGGTGGTGAGTGTCAAGTTGGATCGATGACTGGTAAGGCCAAGTCACTCGTCCCCTTGAGATAGTAGAGGATGCGTTTGATCATTTGAAAATGCATTTCCAATGGAGCTTTCATTGATTGACTTACTGCAAAGGCTATATCGAGTCTAGTAATTGTTAAATACTACAGTGAGCTGACAATTTTATGATATTTGGTGGGTTCCAAAAAGGGTGGTGAGCTGCCGATGAGGGTTGGCTTGGGGGAGAGGGGAGTAGAGATGGGTTTGAAAGTTAGCATGCATTAGCCATTCAGAAGATTGAGGAGATACAATTATTGGTTTATGAAATATCCAGATTTGGTTTTCATGACTTGAATGACAAGGAAGTTGGAGATTGGGCCTAATTCTTTAAGTTAAAATTTGGTGTGAAGTTGTTGAAGAAGGGTTGTTATGAAGTGGGGATTGTTACATATGAGTATAATGTAGTTTACATAAATGAGAAGGTAGACATGTGTTTGACTGATTTTATGAACTAATAGGGATAGGCTGACTGAGCATGGTGCAAATCCAAGGGTTTTTAGGTGTTGTGAGAATGTGGAGTACCACTGGCGAGGAGATTATTTGAGACCATAGAGGGCTTTGTGTAGTTTTCACATGTGGTTGAGATGTTGGGAGTCCTTGAATCCAGGCAGTTGTTACATGTAGACAGTGTCTTCGGGATTGTCGTGAGAAAGACGTTAGAGATGTCAAGTTGATGAATGATCCTTCCTGATGAGTTGCAAAAGCAGTGAGTTCCTGGATCGTGGGCATCTTAGCTACTGGACTGAACTTTTCTTCATAGTTGATACCATATTCTTCAGTGTGTCCCTGGGATACCAGCATTGCTTTGTATATGGCAATGGATCCATTAGAATGAAACTTGGTTTTAAAGGCCCATCTACATTCCAAGATGGGTTGGTCAATTTGAGGAAGAACTAGGAACCAGGTCCCAAAAATCGTCCTGGACGGTTCCCAGAACTATTCTCAGGCCGATATTTTCTACAGTGCCGATCGGCCTGGACGTTTTCTAATCGTCCTGGACGATCCTGAGAGGAAAAATCCAAATCAGAGAGGAACAGTAAGGGAACGAGGTCTCACACATCCTTTGTGAGATGAGGAGTAGCCAAGGAATGCGTAGTGAAGTGCTCGTTGAGAAAATTTGTTGGAAGAGTTATGTTTCTGTAACGCGAAGCATGGGCACCCGAAGGTGCGGAGGTGAGTGTAGCTTGGGTGTTTGTCGTATAATTGGAAATGTGGTTTGCAGGTGTATGGCTCAAGAGGAAGTTCTGTTGATTAAATGAACTACTGTGGCAATGGCATATGTCCAGAAGGAGTGAGGGATGTTAGCTGATGTAAGGAGAGTACGCGTGGTTTCGATAAGGTGACAGTGCTTGGGTTTGGCCACACCATTTTACTCGGGTGTGTGTGGGAACCTGAGTTGATGCGAGATGCCATGAGAATTAAGGTATTGAGTGAATTGGTGGAGGTATATTCACTACTGCCGTCAGTTCTGAGCGCGTTGAAGTTTTTATAAAATTGAATTTTGATGAGCATGTGAAATTGTTTGAATTTTATTTATTGTTTTAAATTTAATAAACATAAGCAAGAGCCATATGTATCTGGAGCAGTTGTCGATGAGAATAACGTAGTATTTAAAATCTTGAGACAAAATAGGGGTTGGGCCCATACATTGGAACGAATTAGAGCAAATAAAGGATGTAGTGTGCACATGCGAATACAATAGCAGATTTTGAAATTTCTCAAAATTTTCATTAACCGTATATGAGCTCATTATATATTGATCTCTTGATTGAAAATTATATCTTACAAATTATTATATATGTTGTTCATTATTGAGTCCCGCATGTCGGCTAACTCATTGTCGGAGCACCGAGACACTAATAGGCCTTCACATTGTTTCAATATTTTCTTTCTTGTTGAACTACCAGGGGTGGAACCACATTGAGGCGAGGCTGGCGATAATTGCCAATTAACCCTCAAAATTGAGTTTTACTTATAAGGGAGAGGAATTTTGAAAAATTGCCCCCATAAAATTATTTTTAAATAAACTTTTATGTCCTATCTTAAATAATTTTGCCGCCATCCAATCCAGATCTAATTCATGTAGGTCCAACCACTCGTTGTTTCTCCTGTGCAATATTTCCCCTATCTCATTCATGCTTGACAGACTGATACTTGGACTCTATCTCCCTTGAAACAACTAAAACCCCTTGGCACAAGCTCTTCTTTGGATGCCAGCCACCCATTTTGCCCATGTATGGAAAGATATAAAAAGCAATGTTTTTTTTTCCCCTATCTTTCTTATTTTGCTGAGGGACGACTCTCTTAGAAGTCTTCACATTAAGAAATTATTCTGTACAGACACCAGATCGTTCGGAGATGATTGTGAGCGCTTCGTCACCCAGTACACAACACCAACACACAACAAAAAATGACGTGGCACACTCTCATTCTTCTCCGCAAGCCGTTTGATATCCGCACATAATAATTAATCCTTCACACTATACTTTACTCATTATATAATTTTTATGCTTTTTTTAATTAATGCAAATGAAATATTTCAAGATTTGATGTTAGAGAGAGCAGTAAACTTTAATTTTAATTTCATAATATTAAAATAACTTTTCTAAAAGAGTTTTCCTTTTCTTCTCATTAACTATTATACAATACTTTATTTATAACTTAAGGCTTATATAAATTATAAACTAATTATAAACTCTTTAGTTCATACTTTTTAAAATATTTAAAATATAAAATATTCAAAGTGTCCTTATTACATAAAATAAAGTATGAATGTTTAAGCTATCATAGTAGACAATGATAGCCAACAAATCAAACATGGACACCATTGCTTATATATATTGCTTATGTTTTTGAATGGAGAAGATTTGCGTGCGAGGCCTTAGGGGCAGAAGGTGACTCTGTAGTTGGTGCCGGCGGGGCAAGTGAAGGTGCTCGTTTGATCGTCCTTGGGATAGCTGTAGGCGTCCGGGCAAAGGTTCTTGAAGAACCTCGAGTAGTCGGTCGCCTGACAGCTGCCGGAGTTGCAGCAATACTCATCTGTCTTAAACACCGTGCACGGATTATTGCATCCTCCGGGAGCCTGCAGCGCCGCCGGGCACTGTCCAACGATATCCGCCGCGCATTTGATTCCGTGGCAAGACCCACTTGGCGTCTCTGGGCTGAAATCAAGCCCCACGTTAAACCCGTCGACGTTGGAGATGTCGAAAAAGTCGAGATTGGAGAACTGGTTGAGGGCGAACTCGGCCAGGGTGTTCGGCGGCGTGCCGTAGGAGGTGCAGGCAAGTTTGCCTCCGCAGTCGCCGGTTTGGCAATTGCCGTTTCCGGAGGCGTCAAAGGAGCAGCCGGTGCGGGCCCACACGCGGCCGCCGGTGGTCCCGGCTGGGACGTTGATGGTCCATGTTTGGCCGTTGTTGAGCTGGATGCCACCGCCGGAGGGGACAGCGGCGGCCCAGACAGTGTACGAGCATTGGTTGACGATGGTGAAGGTGGCGGCTTTGAGAGGGGTTAGGAGGGTGAGGAAGGCGAGGGGGAGGAGGAGGAATGAAATTGCTACGGAGGTGGTGGTCGCCATATTTGTTTGATTAACTGTAATGAATGAATTGGGAGGGAGGGAGGATCGTTTATATATATAGAGGAAGCTGCAAGCTCTTAAAGAAAAGTCTGATTTTTATTCTGTGATGATGCGTGGAAATGGTCGAAGAAGGAAGCATTCAAAGTCTAGATGGTAAGCCCAATTCCACGCAAAGTGCGAAATTTCTCGCATGAGCAAATACTATTCTCAGTACATTAAATCTAAGAGAATTCTCTGCGGATTGGTGGTCTTCCCCATTTTGATTTTGCCACCTAAAATATTAATTTTTATTAGATTTGTATGGGGTGAAATTATTACGTGCGGAGATCGGGCACAGAAAACCGTCTAGTTTGTCTCTATGAATAGTAAAACACTGGACTTTACTGCTGCACTTTTAATATTCATAGAGATAAAATCGATCAGCACTGCACTTTTACTATTCGTTGAGATAAAATTGAACGATTCGCAGTGTCAGATCTCCGCTCGTAATAATATCTCGTTAGGGAGAGGATCTTAATAAAGAAGGATGCTATTTGATTATTTGCATACATTCCTTACAAATGGGCATTTATTACCAAAGCTTATAAAAGCAATAGGTCGAAGATATCCATGTGGCTTAGCAAAAAGAAAGCATGAATGGCAATAAGTGCGATTTACTTTCCCTATTTCAAGTTTTTCTCATGAAAGATATGTGTTACTGCCTACTTTAATCATGAAATATGATTAATAGTTTTCAGATGAGAGTAAACCAAATGTTTGCCTTTTAACCTCTCATCAAAAGGAATAAAACTTTTGATAATCCTCAACTAAATAAGGAAATATTAATAAGTTTAGGGTTTAGGGCAGTAGCTTTTAAATCATTCTTAAATAGGGCCGGAAGCGAACCAAATGTTCGACGAGCTACTCGTTGTTCGGTTCGATTAAAGCTCATTTACGATCGTTTAATTAACTAAACAAACAAACTTGAACAATATTTTAAATACTCGATTCTTAAATAAACAAACTTGAACACTAATGCGTTCGGCTCATTTATGTTTGTGAACAACATCATTTGAAGTTCGTGAACAAGCTCGACATTAAGCTCGATTCGTGTTCGATTTTGAACTAGTGAATAAGCTCGATAAAAATAATTAATATTTGACTATAGAATTAATAAATATAAATAATAATTACCTTTGTTACATAGACAATTGCTTTTATTATAAATGTGTTTGTTCATAGATATGTTCATGAACGTGTTTATTTGATAGTTAAAAAAATTTGTTAAATATGTTCGCGAACAAGCTCGATAAACACTAAATGAACGAACATGAACTGGACATGCATGAACCGAACATGAACACTCCTTAATTTAAATGAACCAAACATGAACACAAACGCTAAAGCTCGAACAAACATGAACCAAACTTGAACAAGTTAATATTAAATGAACACAAACATGAACACTCACATACTCGACTCAGCTCGGTTCATTTGCAGACCTATTCTTAAAGGATCGAGATTCATTTTTATAACCTAAAAAATCATGATATGTTCTCTTAAGAGAGCTATTCGCCATGCCAAATAACAAAGAACCCACATCCAAAATTACAACAATTTGATACCATAAAACGAAGCCAGAAAAAACTCAAAATCTCCGAAACAAGTTGGCCAAAGGTCGGCCCATAAGCGAACCAAATGTTCGACGAGCTACTCGTTGTTCGGTTCGATTAAAGCTCATTTACGATCGTTTAATTAACTAAACAAACAAACTTGAACAATATTTTAAATATTCGATTCTTAAATAAACAAACTTGAACACTAATGCGTTCGGCTCATTTATGTTCGTGAACAACATCATTTGAAGTTCGTGAACAAGCTCGACATTAAGCTCGATTCGTGTTCGATTTTGAACTAGTGAATAAGCTCGATAAAAATAATTAATATTTGACTATAGAATTAATAAATATAAATAATAATTACCTTTGTTACATAGACAATTGCTTTTATTATAAATGTGTTTGTTCATAGATATGTTCATGAACGTGTTTATTTGATAGTTAAAAAATTTTGTTAAATATGTTCGCGAACAAGCTCGATAAACACTAAACGAACGAACATGAACTGGACATAAA